AATCTAAATCAGAACAATGTTTTAAAAAGGCGCTATCTTTATAAATAAACCACAGATTTGAGCTTTAAACAACTATTTTATCGACTTTTAAACTCTTAAAATTACATTTCATGACAAAATAACAGTAATATTTATTAATATTTATACAATTTCGCGGACTTTCTCCTCTGCTGTTGACGCAACCTACTATGAAAAGCGCTAAACAAATAAAGGTTTTACTTGAAAAGCGCTAAACAAATAAACGTATTACTTGAGGGCAACAAACTGCTTTTTATCAAGTTATCGCGAGAACATATTTTGATCAGGCATACTACTGGCATACTATGGGGTCCTAAGGTGGGACTCATCTCTTCAGGGGGACCCATCTCTTCACCACACCGGATACTGAGCATTTATAGAATTGTTATACAATGTATATCTGATATGAGATGATATCATTTATGATCTTATTAGTTGAATAACCAGTTGAGAAACTCTATATTATTCGGTAGGCTGCGTATTGTAAGCTAAGCTATTTTTCTAACTTCCCAGCGCTGGTCTTTCTTTTCTTTGTTTTAGTAATTCATTACGCTCAATAATCGAATCTACAGAGATCAAATATGGACATTGTCAAAAGGATCAACCGTGTGCAAGGAGGAGAGCATTCGTTTCGCTGAGGACTTCAATCAAGAAGACCGAGAGGCTTCTTTATATTTAACAAGCGCATACTGAAGGGAAAGTGCCATATTCGTGGTCCCTTCGCTTTCGTTGAAGGGAAGCACATTTTTGCCTGATAATGAAGTCTTGGGAAATGTGTGTTTTTTTTTAAGAAGCTTTTTTGTAAGTGTTGCTCTTTATTTTTCTAATCTTATTGTCGATTGCTTATTGACACTCTTGTGAGTTCCAGTGGGCGCATGTTCTTGTTGAAATCTCGTTTATCTTGTTGTTCGTTAAACGCAAGGGGACTCAAGGACAATGTAAAACGCAAAGGTATATTTTTGTTTTGCAAGAGGCAGAAGTCAAATTTAGTTTTTCTACAAGAGACTCACTCTACTGAGGAAGAGGCTGCTTTTTAGATGCGGGCGATTAATCGCGATTGATCGCATCCAAAATAAAAGTTTGTGTTTACATAATATATGTGTGTGTAGTGTGTATAATTAATTTGTATATATAAATACTCACACATGTATGTGTATATTTAAGAAAAATGTGTTATTAATATATCAAATATTTATATTTTATATAATATTTATTATGTATAAATATATATAAAGTATATACATGCAAATATTTCTTAAATACATGCATGTGTGTGTATTTATATATACAAATTATTTATATACACACACATATATTATGTAAACATAAACTTTTATTTTGGATGCGATTAATCGCGATTAATCGTTGCCCATCCCGAGTCATGGCTCCAATCGATCAGCAGGGGTCGCCATTTGCCTTAACACTTGCCCTTGGAGGAATGTGACTTTTCAGTCTGATGCTAATGGTCATTGGCTTGCTGCTGTGGTTAATAGTTTAAATAGTTTTCTTATTTTAGTTACACAGCTTAAATCGAAATTTCAAACAAATTTTGTACTAATTGGAGGTGATTTTAATCTAGTAGATGAATGGTTGGACAGATCTCCTTCTAGTTAAGTCTTGTTTTAGGAAATTGTTTTTAATGCAAATTGTGGATGTGTAGGCCGTTGATCGCGATCGTTCCTATCTTGGAAGTTAGTCCAGGATTGGTGGATGTGTGTTGCAGATAATTTAAAGTTTGTATAGAGTAGCTATTTGTAAGTGCCTTGATTTTATGTAATGAGATTAAAGTAAAACATGTTTTGTGGTTATTTGTGTATCGCTAATTATGTTTTTTTTTGTATTAGGTTTAGTTGATTTGCCGTTCCTCTTGTGTTTGTTTTTGTTTCGATTTCCCCGTTGAGCCAGTTTCGCGTGCATATGATGCGCACTATTTGGCGTGTAATACACACACACTCCCCACCCCTAATCCTATACCCAAGTGATTTACAGTGTGTTGTGTATGCACGGAAAAAAAACAAAAAAAAACAAACAAACATTTTTAGCGTATAGAAATTAAATGTGTGATATACGCACTTTATGGTACATTGCAAATATAATAATAAAAATGTACTATTAAATATACAAAAATTAAATTAGCTGCATACTTTTGACTATTTTCACAATACAATTTTTAACACACTTTAAAATAGGCTAATTTTAATTTATATTTTACAAAAATATACTTGAAAGTGAAAGTTCTGTTTATTTTTTATGAGTACCTATATTTATTTGCACTTTTCTTAAAAAATGCATATTTTTAATATGTGCTGAAAATGATCATTGTAACAATGCATTGGAAGTATACTTTCAAAGTAGCCTACATTATTAAATAACATGAAGTTGTAATATGCTTATACTTTTAGTGTACTTTTCGATGCTAAATTGAGACAATTTCAAGTATACTTTAGTATAATTTAATTATAACTAAAATACACTTAGTACAAAAAATAAATTATCCAAAATAGCCCCAACTTCAATTTAACTAATCATTAATTTAGTACTACTTGAAATATACTGACAATTAGTCTGGCTGCAAGTATACTTGGCATACTTTTCTTCACTAGGGTGAGCCTGTGCTCCTGAAAAAACTGAAATAATATTCAGAGCTTTTTTAACTATAGATTTGTCTTTTAAAAATATTACTGTATCATCAGCAAATTGACTAATTCGATATTCATAATCAGAAATGGTAATTCCTTTTCATTCAGGATGGTTGACAACTAAATAAGCAAACATTGTAAACATTTAAATGTAAGGACCTTTTACATTTAGCCCGTGTTTCCACTCTTTTTCGCTCGCTGCCGGAAGACGGTCTCCCGCAAATTTCTGGAAAGTTTTTATAACATTTCGTGAAGATACTGGACAAAGAGTGTTTCGATACCATGCAATTAATTTTTTTTCATCATAGGTTTTTTTTTCAGTTTCTGAGTTGGCTGTGTGTACATCACCAAATCTAACTTTATATTACCTTACTGTCTTGTTGGCTAAAACAGCACCGTTTTGAAACAAATCAGCAACTGTAGCTAGGCTTAAAATATGTTTTACACAGCGGGGTTAGTTCTAGCACAAATTACAACTAAGCCGCCAAGTGTACAATGATAATCAAATGAAAACGGAGTCACACAACTTTTCAGGTTTGTGTACATTGCGATCTCTGGATTATGCAATATAATTTTATAAACGCATAGGCTATAAAAAACACACACTAGAAAAAAATTATTTATAAACTCATATTTGAAATGGAATTAAATAACAAGTAGCCTACTTTGGGTGTCTTATATCATTGTATTTGTTTTCTTATTGAAAGAAACATCAATTACACCCAGTTTATTATCAACACTGTGCACGAGCGCGAATCCCGCGATCCATCTTTGATCTGGCAGGTGTCTGATCCACTTTCTTCACTCCTCTCACTGTGCATGGCTGATTTCAGGCGATGCAAGGCGCACAAACAAGCCTATTATTAACAAGCCCCCCCCCCCCCCCCCCCCACACACACACACACACACACACACTGCTGTAACGGTAGCCTAATTACAGTCTGATGCCAATGCGACACAGCCAAAGTGTCCTGTAACAGTGAATGTTAATCCTCTCTGACTATTCTTAACCAATCATTTATTAGGCTACATGGTACCAGAAGAGAAACAACTGAAGCCTTAAGAACATATTTAACCATATTTAACTTAAAAACATATTTAACCAACAACTCACCATCCAGACGCCAGAAACACAGACAGAAGAAAACAATCCGAAACATCTTCAAAACTTTCAGTCCACAAATATGAAAAAACAAACTCTTCAAAACGGCTTCAGGAATAAAATGACAGATGAGCTGATGTGAAGCTGCTCTGTATCTATTCTCTTCTTTACTGAGTGAGAAAACCACCAGAGTCCGTCTACGGAGAGCCTGGCCACTCCCACTCCCATAGAGAGAAAGAGCTGCGACCCGCTCTGGTGTCGCCGCGATGGATGTCACGTGGTTCATGGAAGCCACAATAGTTCCAAAACAAACGCGGGCTGAAAAACTGTAATTAATAAAATAATCCAATGTATTAGTGTACAACTCGCATATAATAATAGAACAGCCTTATTTATATAAAGGCATAATTATATTAATCATTCATATAATAAATACAAAATTAATGAATTCATATAACTGTAATAAAATTGTATATAATAAATCTTTTTTCACATCCTATTGAATTTGCATATCAGCAGTTGCAGTAAATTTGCATTGATGAATAGACCAAATCTACTTATGGTGAGGAAGGCTATTAGTCTTGAGCATATTGATTGTAAAATATCATATATCAATACTTTGTTAGATAGCTACTTTTTCAAAAAGGTAGCTTAATGTAAAATATGTCGATCATAGAAACAGTTTAGAATTAATTGATTAATCCAGTGTTATTTTAGTATTAATTATTTATTTTGCTAGAATATATATATATATATAACAGATAATCCTCTATAGCTAACCTGTAAGTTATTACATGGCAACAGAAGAACAACTGAAGTCACATTTAAAACTCACCATCCAGATGCCAGAAACACAGACAGAAGAAAACAGTGCAAAACATCTTCAACACTTTCAGTCCACAAATATGAAAAGACAAACTCTTCAACACTTTTCCATGTGGATGTGAAGCCTCCTTGTGTTTTCCCAGCCGCACACACACTTCCTTGGGATCTTCTCTTTTGCCGATATCCTTGCGTCTGTTACCGTGTGGTCCGTCCTTGTTGGCCCTTCTTTCATCCCGCCTCTCGGAGGGCCGTCTGACTAAATCTAAACCCAACTTTAACTAGTGGAGGAATGAGGAGAAACTCTTGTGCAAATCTTTAAAAATGGTTAAAGTCCAGAAAGCCCTTAAATTGATTTATCAAATGGATATGTATAAATTAATTAGTTGATTTACTAATAAAAAAACAATAAAAATCAATCAAAAAAACTATAAAAAACTTTATTGACAAAGGCAATCATATGACAGATTAATCCAGCATTAGTAAAGTGAGATCTGTGTCTTTGAGAGAAATGTGTCGTGATTAGTCAGTAAAAGAGCTTCAGTATTCGGTTGTTAAGTCTGACGTCACGCGTGACATTTAGCCTCTTCCGGGTCCAAGCGCTCCGCTCGTCCATATCTAATTAACGTTACAACCCATAACGTTAGACTAAGCCCTTTTCTTAAAGGACTGGCTTCGCTTCAGCGCCAGTGGGTGTTAGGGATAAAGGAAAGAATTGTAACTTACCTTATCAACTGCAGCCATTTTCTCTTTTCTTTCTCGTCACAGGGAAAGCGGTAGAATGACAGTTGAATGTCACTTGTTTTTTTTAACTCCGATCTATTTAAACAACATGGGACACAGCACTGCGGCATGTTAAAACTCGGGCAAAAGCGGTAAGCAGATAGAGAGGACCCAGCATTTGGACCCGGAAACAGTATTATCAGAGCGTGATTACGTCACGACTTAACAACCGAATTAGAGATCTGAACTATAATAACAACACAAGACATGTGAGACTTTAAGTGTGATTGGAAGTCATTTTTAAAGTCCCCAATCAATCAAAATCGAATTACTCGATCAGTAAAAAATCAGAATTTACAATTAAAAAACACTCACATTGACACTTTGAGCACTAATGTTACACACAGATCACAGGTTTATTTCATTTGAAGCACTTGTGCTAAATGTTACGTTTTTAGATGTAAGAAAGAAATCCCCATTATCTCTAGCCTTGGCTACTGTATATACACCCCTCGGCCCTATGCTGATCTCCTAAAAGAGTTTGCAGACTTTCTCTCAGATCTATCGATATCTAAGTCCACTAAAGGAGGGAGGCCGTTTCTCACATTTAGCTCCTGAACTCTGGAATACCTTTCTGATGGGCTCGCTGTCCCAGTTTAAAACTCGATTAAAGACGCATCTCTTTATTCAAGCGTTCACTGAATCAGATCGAATGCATTAAAGGGGTCACGAACTGGCTTTTTACATTTTATTATATTGTTGTCTGAGGTCAACTTATGACGTTCGCTTGGTTTACAATGGTTTTCTAGTGCTGTTTTTGACAGAAGTTTGCATTTAGATACTTTTATTATAATGTGATATTTGCTGTATTCTGCACAGTTCAGCCTTACAGCAGAGCAGGGATTTGTGTTGTTTCTACTTGAATGCTTCAGTTTTAAATAATGCCCCGAAATTAGTAATTTATCAATATCAAACTGACATTGTAAAACGGAGTTAGTAAAATATAAAAAATTTACGAACACATTTTTTAATTATGCAAAATATCATCTGAGATAAAAAATTATGTCAATATCGCACACCCCTACTTTGAAACAATATGTATTGTGAAAAGCGCTATAAAAAAATTGAATTCAATTGAATTAATGAGTGAGAAAATATATTGCTGTTTGTTCTCAAATTCTAAGGTGGAAATAAGCCACATGAAAATAAGCATACAGTAAATGCCAGCATGATGATGGTGGTGATGATGATGATGATGATGATGATGATGATGAACATGAAGATAAAGAACAGTCTCTATTGATGGCAGGAACAGGCAGACGAGCTGGAAAACATGAGAGAGAAAAGATAAATAAGAACAAATCTAATCAACAATCTTATTTCGGTTCAATCAGTGTTTATATGATCCAGCATCTCAAACTACAACGATGAATCAACAATTAATAAATATGTAAATAATTAGTTAAAAAAACAACAAGAGTGTTTGAAGGACAGGAGATATGATCTCTACTCACCAGAGACTGAAACTCTGAAAGCATTTAATGAGAAACTGTTATCTTCTCTCCTAAATTTGATCTTATAATCTCCAGCTTGTTCAGTTGTGATGTTTGTGATGGTCAGAGATCCAGTTTGATTGTTCAGCTTCAGTCTGTCTCTGAATCTCCCGAGATAATCATCATATACAGTGATTCTGTCGGCTTTTACATCAATTTCAGCGATTAAAATGTTTTCATCCCCAAAAATCCACCGAATCCATTTATAACCCTTTATTTCAGTGATATCAGAGTTTATAGTGAGTGATTCTCCCTCCATCACTGATATTTCAACTGGATCAACAAACAGAAACAGAGTTAGATTTCAAATGAACAATATCATAAAAAAAATTGTGTTTAGTTAAAGGGTTGGTAAAACACGATTTCACTTTTCTAACTTTAGTTAATGTTGCTGTTGGAGAAGAATAAACATCTGCAAATTACAGCGCTCAGTTCAAAGCAAAGGAAGATATTTGATTTTAAAGAAAAGGACTACAACAAACGGCTGGTATGGACTACACAACATTCCTCCGGTTTAGTGAACTAACTGTGTTACTATGGTTACCAATGTTTATAGCGATACATTTCGACTGTAATCAAACTGACTGGAACTACCTGTGCATTAAACGGTTTTACTGCACACCTTCCAGCCAATCAGAATCGACTGTGGTATAACTAACCTTTATAGAGCTGGTAAGTCCCGCCCATCCGTAAAACTCCGAGTGGACCTCTATAGGTTGAAAAAGCGTCAATGCAAGTGAATGAGAGAAAATAATTCTTTTCTGATCCCGTTTGAATTGTGCCATGAATGTAACATATGTTGTCTGTTATATAATTTTTTTAAATATAATGTCTCATGTAATGAGTTTGACAGTATATTGAATGATTCTTTGGCTAGCAGTTGTGGAATAGACATAACAAGAAAGACTACACGTCGCATATGTGACATCGCCGCATAACACATTTTCCCTCCACAAATCACGGTGCGATAATCTAAGGAATTAGATCGAGATGCCTGTGTGTTTTGTACTCAAATGTCACCAATCAAACAATGGTTTGTTTAGCGGGATCCATGTGCTAGTGGTCGTGACGTATATCAAACGCGTCGGAAGCAGGAAGAGTTGTAGTCCACAAAATGCTCTCACACAAAGTCTAAAAAAAGTCGTATAAAAATTCTACCTGCTAAATTGTAGCATTCTTTACACGAAACATTATATAAAAAATTCACAGACAACATATGTTCACATTTTTTGCAAAATTCAAACGGGATTAGAAAATAATTATTTTCTCTCATTCACTTGCATTGACGGTTTTTCAACCGAGGTCCATCGGGGCTATAGCGGAAGGGGCGGGACTTACCAGCTCTATAATGGATCTCTATGATCGCAGCTGCTAACACTTGAAACCCCGCCCTCTGCAGCAGTTCATTTGCATTTAAAGGGACAGACACAAAACGGTGTGTTTTTGCAAACCCTCAAAAAGGGACAACTTTAACATGCGATATACAATATCTGTGGGGTATTTTGTGCTAAAACTTCACACACTCTGAGATTTATTTTACATCTTGTGAAAAGGGCATTTTACCACCCCTTTAATATTATTTCGTTTGATTACAACATAAAATGGTAAAACAAATATTTAACCTACCAAAGACAGCGAGAGTAGTGTGCGATCTCCAAAAAGATTTAGGATAATGTTTATAATATCCAGCATGTTCAGTTGTGATGTTTGTGATGGTCAGAGATCCAGTGTGTTTGTTCAGCTTCAGTCTGTCTCTGAATCTCCCATCAAGAACATCATCATATACAGTGATTCTGTCGGCCTGTTTATTGAATTCAGCGATTAAAGTTTCAGTCTTATTATCATCTTCAAACTTCCACTGAATCACATTATAATTCTTTATTTCAGTGAGACCAGTGTATATAGTGACTGAATCTCCTTCCATCACTGACACTGACGGCTCTGATCCTGATATCAGAAACACACACAGATGAAACACAAACAGGGTTTGTCAAATGAATAGTGTGAAATCACTTAATGTTTTACTAAATAACTTTAAATGTCAGTTTGACATAAACAATATCATAAAACAAACAAAAAGAATCAAAATGGTGAATGAATGAATTTAAATGTTGTCATTAAAAACAGGTGAAACAAATGCCTTTAGCCTCACCATAGTAGCGAATATTGATCCATCTCTTCCTCACACCGTTGATCTGTAGAGAATAATATCCAGTCTGTTTAGTGATGTTTATGATGGTCAGAGATCCAGTGTGTTTGTTCAGCTTCAGTCTGTCTCTGAATCTCCCATCAAGAACATCATCATATACAGCGATTCTGTCGGCCGTTACATTGATTTCAGCGATTAAAATTTCATTCTTATCATCTTCAAACCTCCACTGAATCACATCATCATCCTTTATTTCAGTGAGATCAGAGTTTAGAGTGACTGAATCTCCATCCGTCATAATCTTCTCTTCATATTCTTCATTATCATCATCACCATCATCACCAAACACACCTGAAGAACAGAGTTTTTCACAGATTAAAGATTTGAAATCACTCGATGTTGGTTTGATGAAGCTTCACTGAAATACTTTAAATCGATTAAATGTGATGTTAATAATATTCTTTATTAATACAAAGACAAAAGATGAATTAAAAAAAGAAATAGATTTACACAAGGCACAAAAAACTAAATAAAAAGACTTAATTTAATGTTGTAACAAGTACTGAATTTACTGTAAACTTATGCTGTGGTTTTATTTGGTTTTGTGTTATTGTTTAAACGTTATTGGATATTAACTAACATTTACGAAATCAAATAAAGACACAGAAACCATATCCCATCTTTAGTAGATAGATATTAATAAATGTTAGTACTAGGGTTGGGCCGATGACTGACAGACATCACGATGTTTAGCCGGCAGCCCATTTCTGAATATTAATAAACTTGCTTACCATGTCATCAACTATCCTCTATTTCGATTCTCAAATACGTGTAAGTGAGTTTGTTTTGTCGTTTAAATAAAACGTTATAAATGATCTTGATCTGTAACGTGAGATTGCCGCCGTGTTTGGGCCGCAGTTCAGAGATTCAATCAGTTTTTCATGAAAGTGGACGGTGAACTGGGAGAAAAATAATTGACTTTATAGTTTTTTACACTTTGTGTCTGATATGAATAAAAACCATTGTCAAATGTACACTCACCCAAAGGATTATTAGGAGCACCGGTTCAATTTCTCATTAACACAATTATCTAATCAACCAATCACACGGCAGCAGCTTCAATGCATTTAGGGGTGTGGTCCTGGGGCGGACACAACCTTGATGAGGATGGGCTACAACAGCAGAAGACCCCACCGGGTACCACTCATCTCCACTACAAATAGGAGAAAGAGACGACAATCTGCAAGAGTTCACCAAAACTGGACGGTTGAAGACTGGATTAAATGTCGCCTGGTCTGATGAGTCTGGATTTCTGTTGAACATTCAGATGATTTGGCGTAAACAGAATGAGAACATGGATCCATCATGCCTTGTTCCCACTGTGCAGGCTGGTGCTGGTGTGGGGGATGTTTTCTTGGCTCAAGATGCTATCCTATCAATATGGGCCAACATTTCTAAAGAATGCTTTCAGCACCTTGTTGAATCAATGCCACGTATAAAATATGGAATATTTAACATTTTCTTATACAGGGGAGCATACCCCTGGAACAAAAAATAAATAAAAAATGGAAGAGAATTGTAATGCTATTTCTGAGGTTAAGCAAGAGATGAAAGTTCACAAGCAGAAGGAAGCTATGTCGCAGCTGGAGCTTTCTGATGAGGCCTGCTGAGGCCAAGGGTGGGAGACTTGGATCGCTATAAAGGCTTGTTGGAGAAACAGAATGAGAGCATCTGACAGGGAGGGATAATCCAGCTGGCCGAGATTGCTCCTGGTGTGTGCTGGGAAATAGAAGAGGCGTTTGATACGGTTTATATTGGCAGAAGAGAAGGGAATCGTAGGCCTCTGTTAGAAATGTGTTTTCTTTCTCTCAGCTATTATCCAGCAAGAGCCTTACTTGCACATTACTTTCCATGTTTGTACTTTGCCGGATACTGAGCATTTATAGAATTGTTATACAATTTGATATGATATGATGTCATTTATGATCTTATTGGTTGAATAACCAGTTGAGAAACTCTATATTATTCGGTAGGCTGTGTATTGTAAGCTAAGCTATTTTTCTAACTTCCCAGCGCTGGCCTTTCTTTTCTTTGTTTTAGTAATTCATTACGCTCAATAATCGAATCTACAGAGATCAAATATAGACATTGTCAAAAGGATCAACCGTGTGCAAGGAGGAGAGCATTCGTTTCGCTGAGGACTTCAATAAAGATATATAACAAGCGCATACTGAAGGGAAAGTGCCATATTCGTGGTCCCTTCGCTTTCATTGAAGGGAAGCACATTTTTGTCTGATGATGAAGTCTTGGGAAATGTGTTTTTTCACACATTTGCATTTTTCTAATCTTATTGTCGATTGCTTATTGACACTCTTGATCCGTATATTGTTCCAGTGGGCGCATGTTCTTGTTGAAATCTCGTTTATCTTGTTGTAACAAGTAATTTGGGTGTCTTATATCATTATATTTGTTTTCATATTGAAAGAAACATAACTTAAATTACACCCAGTTTATTATCAACACTGTGCACGAGCGTGAATCCCGCGATCCATCTTTAATCTGGCAGGTGTCTGATCCACTACGAGTAGAGAGAGATCCACTACGAGACAGATCTGTCCGTTTGCCTGCGCTTTCTTCACTCCTCTCACTGTGCATGACTATGATTTCAGGCGAGGGAAGGCGCACCACACACACACACACACACACACTGTAACGGTAATTAGACAGTCTGATGCCAATGCGACACAGCCAAACTGTCCTGTAACAGTGAATGTTAATCCTCTCTGACTATTCTTAACCAGTCATTCACTACATGGTACCAGAAGAGAAACAACTGAAGCCTTAAGAACATATTTAACCATATTTAACTTAAAAACATATTTAACCAACAACTCACCATCCAGACGACAGAAACACAGACAGAAGAAAACAATCCGAAACATCTTCAACACTTTCAGTCCACAAATATGAAAAGACAAACTCTTCAAAACGGCTTCAGGAATAAAATGACAGATGAGCTGATGTGAAGCTGCTCTGTGTCTATTCTCTTCTTTACTGAGTGAGAAAACCACCAGAGTCCGTCTACGGAGAGCCTGGCCACTCCCACTCCCATAGAGAGAAAGAGCTGCGACCCGCTCTGGTGTCGCCGCGATGGATGTCACGTGGTTCATGGAAGCCACAATAGTTCCAAAACAAACGCGGGCTGAAAAACTGTAATTAATAAAATAATCCAATGTATGTATGTGCAACTCACAAATAATAATAGAACAGCCTTATTTATATAAAGGCATAATTATATTAATCATTCATATAATGAATACACAGTTAATGAATTCATATAACTGTAATAAAATTGTATATAATAAATCTTTTTTCCACATCCTATTGAATTTGCATATCAGCAGTTGCAGTAAATTTGCATTGATGAATAGACCAAATCTACTTATGTCGAGGAAGGCTAATTAGTCTTGAGCATATTGATTGTAAAATATCATATATCAATACTTTGTTAGATAGCTACTTTTTCAAAAAGGTAGCTTTAGTTTAACGTAAAATATGTGGATCATAGAAACAGTTTAGAATTAATTGATTAATCCAGTGTTATTTTAGTATTAATTATTTATTTTGCTATAATATATATATATATATATATATATATATATATATATATATATATATATATATATATATATATCTATAGCTAACCTGTAATTTATTACATGGCAACAGAAGAACAACAACTGAAGTCACAATTAAAACTCACAATCCAGACGCCAGAAACACAGACAGAAGAAAACAGTGCAAAACATCTTCAACACTTTCAGTCCACAAATATGAAAAGACACTCTTCAAAACTTTCCCATGTGGATGTGAAGCCTCCTCAGAGTTGTGTTTTCCCAGCCGCACACACACTTCCTTGGGATCTTCTCTTTTGCCGATATCCTTGCGTTTGTTACCGTGTGGTTCGTCCTTGTTGGCCCTTCTTTCATCTCGCCTCTCGGAGGGCCGTCTGGCTAAATCTAAACCCAACTTTAACCAGTGGAGGAATGAGGACAAACTCTTGTGCAAATCTTTATAAAATGGTTAAAATCCAGAAAGCCCTTAAATTGATTTATCAAATGGAGGATGTGTATAAATTAATTTGTTGATTTACCAATAAAAAACACTCAAAAAAACAATAAAAAACTTTATTGACAAAGGCAAGCATATTCATATGACAGATTAATCCAGCATTTTGTAAAGTGAGATCTGTGTCTTTGAGAGAAATGTGTCGTGATTAGTCGATCTGAACTATAATAACAACACAAGACATGTGAGACTTTAAGTGTGATTGGAAGTCATTTTTAAAGTCCCCAATCAATCAAAATCGAATTACTTGATCAGTAAAAAAAACAGAATTTACAATGTTACACACAGATCACAAAAACAGGTCACAGGTTTAATTCGTTTGAAGCACTTGTGCTAAATGTTACGCTCTTAGACGTAAGAAAGAAATCCCCATTATCTCTAGCCTTGGCTACTGTATATACACCCCTCGGCCCTATGCTGATCTCCTAAAAGAGTTTGCAGACTTTCTCTCAGATCTATCGATATCTAAGTCCACTAAAGGAGGGAGGCCGTTTCTCACATTTAGCTCCTAAACTCTGGAATAGCCTTCCTGATGGGCTCGCTGTCCCAGTTTAAAACTCGATTAAAGACGCATCTCTTTATTCAAGCGTTCACTGAATCAGATCGGATGCATTAAAGGGGTCACGAACTGGCTTTTTACATTTTATTATATTGTTGTCTGAGGTCAACTTATGACGTTCGCTTGGTTTACAATGGTTTTCTAGTGCTGTTTTTGACACAAGTTTGCATTAGATCCTTTTAATTATAATGTGATATTTGCTGTATTCTGCACAGTTCAGCCGTACAGCAGAGCAGGGTTTGTGTTATTTCTACTTGAATGCTTCAGTTTTAAATAATGCCCCGAAATTAATTTATCGATATCAAATTGACATTGTAAAACGGAGTTACTAAAATATAAGCCACATGAAAATAAGCATACAGTAAATGCCAGCATGATGGTGGTGATGAAGATGATGATGATGATGAAGAACAGTCTCTATTGATGGCAGGAACAGGCAGACGAGCTGGAAAACATGAGAGAAAAAGATAAATAAGAACAAATCTAATCAACAATCTTATTACGGTTCAATCATTGTTTATATGATCTCAAACTATAAAAGGATCCAACAATTAATAAATATGTAAATAATTAGTTAAAAAAACAACAACAAAAAAACAAGCGTGTTTGAAGGACGCGAGATGATCTCTACTCACCAGAGACAGAAACTCTGAAAGCTTTTCCTGAGAACCATATTGAAGACCAATCCTCCTTCCTATGGATCAGTTTATAATCTCCAGCTTGTTCAGTTGTGATGTTTGTGATGGTCAGAGATCCAGTTTGATTGTTCAGCTTCAGTCTGTCTCTGAATCTCCCGAGATAATCATCATATACAGCGATTCTGTCACCATCAATTTCAGCGATTAAAATGTTTTCATCTCCAAATATCCACCGAATCCATTCATAACGCTTTATTTCAGTGATATCAGAGTTTATAGTGAGTGATTCTCCTTCCATCACTGATATTTCAACTGGATCAACAAACAGAAACAGAGTTAGATTTAAAATTAAAATCATCAAAAAACAGAAGAGAAACAAAATGGTGTTTAGTTAAAGGGGTGGTAAAACACGAGTTCACTTTTCTAACTTTAGTTAGTGTGTAATGTTGCTGTTTGAGCATATAAACATCTGCAAATTACAATGCTCAGTTCAAAGCAAAGGAAGATATTTGCTTTTAAAGAAAATGTCTACAACAAAGGGCTGGTTGACATCAGCAACCCTCGGGAACATGCAGTCACGGAGAACATTTGTGAGTCAGCTCAAACTTTAGCATCCTTGTTTTCACATGTGTGATGCCCACTAAAGTGTTATCACATTTGTGGTAGTTGCAGTAATTGTATAGCCTATGTTTGTGAATATTTGTTCAGAGGTAATTAACCTGTTTCCAACATTATTAAACTATAATGTTTTATGAAAATCAGGAGTAATAGTGGAGTTCGCCAGCAGGGGTCAGGTTGGCATTTAATTTGCTCTATAGTGCAACTTTACGGCAGTTTTGCGACCTTTCTCCTGCTGAGCGATGAAAAACGGACGCAGAGTTTGCCTGTCTCGTTTATTTCTCCTGTTTTCAGGTTGGTGAAATAGTAATGAAGTTAAATACTTGAAGTGTAATATGTTTACATGTCACTGAATGTTCCAATGTCCGTTAATAAGCCTGTTTGATTAATAGGTGAACATACCTACATTGAGTGTTAGCCGCATTTTCAAGCTGATAGCGTCACCCGTTGTTATCAATGTTATGTCGGACAGAGTTTTATTTTTAGCTCCTTGAACATTTTTGTAAAGTCTAATAGTTCGGGAATATATGATATTTTGTAAAATGTGAAAAGCAAATGTTGGAATCAAATGATATATGATCTAAAAGAGTTTAAAAACAAGTTAAAAAATCTCCTAAAAGGAAACGCTCAAATCGCTTAAAACAGACGCGATAGCTGATTCGAACACTGAAGCAGTTTGTTTATCTATCATGGCAGCGGACGCGAAGTTACCTTTTGATACAGCCTAATGTTTGACATTAAACATATTGGCTCAACTGATGTGCAGAGGGGGGATTTAAAGCTGTTCCCTTTTACTGGTGATTCACTTTTTTAATTTTACTTCATATAACGTTAGCCTTTTTTGTTGATCACATATATCACATATCACATACCAGCGGTCTTTGTACCGGAGTAAAGGGTTAGCTAGTAGCATTGTAATGGTGTTGTCGCTAGTCAAAATGCCCGTATGGACATACACCCAGACATCATAATGATTGGCTTTGACTAGGGAGCACATTATGACCTCAACACGCAAAAATCCGGTGCTCCGCTGCAGCATCAGTATTTGACGAGCTGCACACCATATCAGGCCATAATTGCTGTCCACTTCTTGTCATCCACAATCCAAAGATCGTCAGATATTGCGTAGGGATCCGACAAGATCTCACCATTGCTGAGAGTACGTTTTTTAATGTAATCGCCACGGTCGGAGGTAGACTTCTGGCTACTAAGGCTTCCCGCATAATCCATTGTCAAATCTTTAATTTACAGTAAATTATCGTTATATGTGTGATATGTTTCAGGTCGTAAACTAACAAGGTTAACTTATATAAAAGCAAATTCGGGATCTATAGAGGCTATTATAACTAACTATCAGTGTTGTAGTACTCGAGACTCGGACTCGTCTCGGACTCGGTCTCGAGACCATATTTTAATGGTCTTGGTCTTGTCATGGACTCGTGTCCATTTGGACTCGGAATTGACTCGTACTCGAGCATTTTTTTTTTTTAGGACTCGGAATTATTCCCGAGTCCACTCGAGTTCAATTAAAAATATTTTTCATGATTATTAATGTATGTTAATAAAATATTCCTTTAAATTGATTGACACGCCCAGTGATTGGTGATTTTCTAGTGCGCAACTGCGCATGACAAGTTGTAATAAAATTACTTTTAACACCACCTACTATGTGGCCTTTTTACCCTAAACTGATCATATTTTTTAAACTAAGTAAATTCAGTAAAAAAAAAAAAAGTAAATAAGTAAATCTCTAAGTAAATAAAAGTAAATTAGGTAATCAACCCTCACTGGTCTCGACTCGGACTCGACCGTCTCTGGTCTCGGACTCGACTCGGACTCGACTCTCTATGGACTTGGTCTTGACTCGGACTCGACTCTCTCTGGTCTCGGTGTCGACTCGGACTCGAGTGAGGTGGTCTCGACTACAACACTGCTAACTATCTAACATGATAATTCATACACAGTATGTCCGGATTTTGATTCGTAAACAGTTGGACGTTCATGAAACGCAAACAAACAGATCCAACTCTGAAGTTGCAGTTTATTACTGAGTCAAAAAGAAACTACAGATTTGTAATTTTGTAATTTTACAGAAAATTACATTTTCTTTTACAGAACTCTGCATAACAGATAGCGTTTTTTGCCCCCAGGATGCGCGCGCATCCGGTATTGTTTGTACAGGAAACCCATGTATAGCGAAGCGGTTGTTACAGCGAATACAACCCCCTCAGGCTGATTCAAGACCGCTTCGTGTTAAGTTCGCGGGGTTGTGTTCGCTATATAACAACAGTCTCTCTATACATTATCCCTTACTTTTTATTTATTTATTTCTATGAGGGCTGACAAGACAAAATAAGGACTGTCAAGTGTCTTTAAACAGTGCGGGACAGGCGCTCGAAGGGGGTCTCGCCCTGGGTGTAATTCAAAGTAGAACCGCCACTGGCAACAGTGACAGTGACAAGGCAATCTTTATTTGAACTAATAATGTCATTTAGTTAAATTAATTAGGTGTATATCAAACTTTAATTACAAGTCCTGTGTGTGTGAAAGGGGAGAGTGCAGGTGCATTTCTAATTTTCTTTTCAATTTTTTCTGTAGCGCTTTAAAACTAATATATAGACGGCATTGCTTGTCTTGAAGTCTTTATCACTTATAATGTTGTATTTTGTAATGTGACGGTTTATACCTGCTCTGAAAAACATCGTGAAACACTGTATTTGCGTTAAGCGTTAGACTGAACAGAGGCATAAAACTCCCGCAATGTCTCATTTAAAAGAGAAGCAGAGTAGGTCTCGAAATCTTCGAACTGCCCATTTAGTTGTCTTTTTCGTATTGACGTCATCTTTGTCGTCTTCGATCTTATCTAGCTCTGTCGGTGTTAATTCTTTGTGCCACTTTTTGTCATTCAACGCCTTCTCCAAGTCTTCTATTTCGTCATTTACAAATTAATATTTAATATTACATTTACAAATTAATATTTAATATTAATATTTACAAATTAAACGATATGCCAGACGAAAAATCAGCCATTTAGCCTACCTAAATAAACATTTTTCATATATGTCTCTCTCTCACTCTGTTCGCAAGTGTAACTGTGTTATTATGGTTATCAATGTTTATAGTAGCGGATAAATTTTGACTGTAATCAAACTGGAACTACCTGTGCATTAAACCGTATTAATGCACACCTTCCAGCCAATCAGAATCGAGTGTGGTATGGATCTCTATGATTGCAGCTGCTAACACAAGCTCTCGAAACCCCGCCCTCTGCAGCAGCTCATTTGCATTTAAAGGGACAGACACAAAACAGTGTGTTTTTGCAAACCCTCAAAAAGGGACAACTTTAACATGCGATCTGTGGGGTATTTTGGGGTATCTTGTGAAATGGGCATTTTACCACCCCTTTAATATTATTTCGTTTGATTACAACATAAAATGGTAAAACAAATATTTTACCTACCAAAGACAGAGAGAAGGACTTCACTGTCCGAACCCCACTTAGATTTAATTTGTTGAGCATATCGTTTATAATATCCAGCATGTTCAGTTGTGATGTTTGTGATGGTCAGAGATCCAGTGTGTTTGTTCAGCTTCAGTCTGTCTCTGAATCTCCCATCAAGAACATCATCATATACAGCGATTCTGTCGGCCGTTACATTGATTTCAGCGATTAAAATTTCATTCTTATCATCATCCAACATCCACTGAATCACATCATCATCCTTTATTTCAGTGAGACCAGAGTTTAGAGTGACTGATTCTCCCTTCGTCGCTGACGTCAGAGTCACTGGTTCTGATATGAAACACACACAGAACAAACACAAACAGGGTTTGTCAGATTAATGCCGTGAAATCACTTAATAATGTTTTACTAAATAGTTTAAAATGTCAGTTTGAAATAAACTCATAAAACAAACAAAAAGAATCAAAATGGTGAATGAATTAATTTAAATGTTGTCATTAAAAACAGGTGAAACAAATGTGTTCAGCCTCACCATAGGCACCAATTTTGATCGTTCTCTTCCTCAAACCGTTGATCTGTGGAGAATAATATCCTATCTCTTCAGTGATGTTTATGACGGTCAGAGATCCAGTGTGTTTGTTCAGCTTCAGTCTGTCTCTGAATCTCCCATCAAGAACATCATCATATACAGCGATTCTGTCGGCCGTTACATTGATTTCAGCGATTAAAGTTTCAGTCCTAAAATCTCCATAGATCCACTGAATCACATCATCATCCTTTATTTCAGTGAGATCAGAGCTTATAGTGAGTGACTCTCCCTCCAGCATAAACTTGAATGAATCTTCCTCCATCATAAACTTCAATTCCTGTTTATCACGCACACCTGAAGAACAGAGTTTTTCACAGATTAAAGCTTTGAAATCACTCGATGTTGGTTTGATGAAGCTTCACTGAAATACTATAAATCATTTAAAAGTGATATTAATAATATTCAGCAATACAAAGACAAAACATGATGAATTAAAAAAAGAAATAGATTTACATATGGCACAAAAACTAAATAAAAAGACACTTTTAAAGGGACACTTCACCCATTTGCATTAAGCTTTGTATCTTTAGAAACCCAGTCATATTTTTGAATGGTCATGGTTTATTCCCTTATTTTCCCCTGAGATGGGAGAAATAAGGATTTAAGTGTTTTACTTTCTGCTTATTATGACGTAAAAATCGCCATTTTGCGTCATAATAAGCAGAAAGTCACATTTCATTGAAATGTGGAAAGACTACAAACATTAGCTCATTATTATTCAAGGGTGTGGGACCCACTCACCCTACAGGCCTATCACAGATCAGTGGGTGGGACTTCAGTTGCAGAAACTGAATCAATATCCGCCATCTTGTTTGGAAGCTAAGCTAACAAGCGCTGTGGAGATAGGAATTATGACAAAAATGGAAGAAACTAAACATGATATGGAAGAAGAGGATTTTGAAAGTCTAGTATAGTGAAGAGCAGCTGAGGCTGATGGAGGAACCGGAGGCGGCTGCCTGTTTTTTTTGTATTCGGTTTAGTTGATTTGCTGTTCCTCTTGTGTTTGTTTTTTGTTTCGATTTCCCTGTTGAGCCAGTTTCGCGTGCATATGATACGCACTATTTGGCGTGTAATACACAGGCACACACACTCCCCACCCCTAATCCAACCCAAGTGATTTACAGTGCGTAGCATATGCACGCAAAAAAACAATTTTTGGAGTATAAATAGCAAAAGAAATTTAAATTTGCACTTTATAATGCATTGCAAATAAAAATGTACTATTTTTAAATATACAAAAAAGTATGTTCGCAGCATACTTTTGACTATTTTCACAATACAATTTTTAACACACTTTAAAATAATTGTCATTTAGTATATTTACTAAAAAATATATATTTACAAAAATATACTTGAAGTGAAAGTTCTGTTTATTTTTATAAGTATTTTTATTTGCACTTTTCTTAAATATATTTTATGCATATTTTTTTTAACTATGTGCCGCAAATAGTCATTGTAACAATGCATTGGAAGTTTATTTTCAAAGTACATTATTTAATAACATGAAGTTGTAATATTCTTAATTTTAGTGTACTTTTCGGTGCTAAATTGAGTCAATTTCAAGTATACTTAGTACACTTTAATGCATGTACTTATCTGTGGTCTGTGCATGAGAACTGAGGACCTGTTGTTCTGCTGATATGTTGATACAGCTGTGGGGTGGCTGTGTGACACTCAGGAAGTGATTGAGCAGTGACCTCTTACTTCAGAAGGTTCCCCGGGTCTTGGGGTGGCCATAAAAGTTCCTTTGTTTTTCTTAAGTGAATGAGAAGAGATAAACACTATAAAGCTCCTTAGAGACCCCTCCTCGGGGTCTCATTCCCCATTCCTCTTGGCTTCTTGCAAGAATAAAATCTTTTATATTGGAATCTTGGTGTCTCTCACGCTGTGATGCTGTTTGATTAGTTATTGTTTTTGCCACAACAATGATTTGTCTTTTAAAAATATTACTGTATCATCAGCAAATTGACTAATTTGATATTCATAATCAGAAATGGTTAATTCCTTTTTAAATTGAGGATGGTTGACAACTAAATAAGCTAACATTTGAGTAGCCTGCATAAAATAAACAGTTTTAGAGAGTTTGGACAGCCTTGTCTAATACCACGCAGCATGCCTGGGATATATAACTATAAGTGTTGTTATAGAAAATTAATAACCTTGCAAAACCCTTCCCCAAAACCAAGCATTCTAAGCATTGTAAATAAAAATGCATGCTCTACAGTATCGAATGCTTTAAAAACAAAATGAGGCTTTCTGATTGTCTCAGTGATTGATAGTCAATCATATCCAAGATTAGTGTCGTCCGCACGAAGCCGGAGCTTCCCCTATCCGATGTTTTTTCCCTCGTTCTAAAAAAAAAAGTCCGTAAACACGGCGGCGTCTCGAAAAATACTTGAAATAATATTATTTCATACACAGTTTCTTATTTTCTTTTTTACACAGAACTTTATTGAACAACCATAAATTGCTTGCGATACAAAATAGGGAGTAGCGATATTCGATTAGTTTTAGCGGACCCAGAAAGCTTCCCACAAAGAACTGGCAAAAGTAACGAATGTGACAAATATAGACATTTTAATTGTTTATTAATAAACTAATGTTTTCTGTGTCATTCTTGACTGAAAAGATGAAGTTGATTATGCTGACTCTCCACTTCGCAGTACGCGCCTACTAGGCTAATGCACTTCATACGGATTAGGCTATAAGAGCGTTATCTGTTTCTTTTCGTTTTGAATTGTTGTTTGTCGATGTTTTATAAACGTAGACATTTCAAGCTTTCAAGTTTCGGTTCATTTATGAGACGAGCTCCAGTTCACGAGCAATGCCAGTTATATCGCACCGGGGTGTCCATGTCCTGATATTTTCTGCTATAGCCTATATTTGCCTATTATTTATTAAATCCAGGTAACTGATTGATGAAATATATTAAAATCAAGAGACAATTTATACAAAAAGGAAATTAACTTTAAAGAAGGGCTTTATACAGAACAATTAGGTTTCACGATATATTGCTCATATGCACGCGGTTCACTTTTCACAAACAACATAGATTCAATAAAAAAATAACCTATTTAAACATAAATATTAAACTAAATACATTTCTTTAATGGATATAACATGCCTAACCTACAGAGAAATGTAATGTCGGAGTGGAACAGGGGTGCGTTTTTTGAATAGGCAAAAATAATCAAATAATTAATTCCCATCGATCGTCGAATATTATTTTTGCTTTATGAATCCCCATCCCTACAAAATACGAAATGTCTTAATGAGACAACAGACCAGGGGTGCGTTTCCCGAAAGCATCGTTAGCCAACTATGGTCGCAAGTTCCGTCGTTATCAGCATAGTCCAACGATTCGGTGTTTCCCGAAACCATCGTTCCAACGAACATTCGCAAACAGCATCGCACAGCTCTCGACCTGTGGTTATAGGCATCGTTTCTATATTGCAACACATTTGGAGATAATAAATCCTTATCTTGAGCATAATGAGCAAGCTGACATTCAGTACAACCGGACGGTGTCTTTTATTTAGAATACTTACAAATGGAATTAGTTTTTTAAAAGATTTGAAGTAACGTGTTTGAAAAGTGCGCATGTGCGAACGTGCTCCACTATGTAACAACGAGCCAAATATTGAGTCTGGTAATAAAGTAAAACTGAGAACAATTAGTACTCCGATGACATGTCTGTAATTTATATAAAACAAATCTAGCGTTAATTGGATCTCCAACAGTTTCATTAAAAGTAGGCTAGTTATTACTCCACCACGTGCGAAACCAACGTGGTTGAACGATACTTTGCGACAGTGGGTTTCGGGAAACAGTCGTGACTAGCTATAGTTGATTTTTCCAACGATGCATCGTACAATGGTAGTGAATCAGCGAACTACGTCGTTGTACGTCGTCGTTGTACGTCGTCGTTGTACGCCGTTGTCGCGAAAGCGTTAGCCAACTATGGTCGCAAGTTCCGTCGTTATCAGCATAGTCCAACGATTCGGTGTTTCCCGAAACAATCGTTCCACGAACATTCGCAAACAGCATCGCAAAGTTGTGTGGTTTGAACGACAGCTCTCGACCTGTGGTTAGGGGCATCGTTTCTATATTTCATGACTTTTGGAGGTAATAAATCCCTATCTTGAGCAAAATAAGCAAGCTGACATTCAGTACAACCGGTGCCTTTTATTTAGAATACTTACACATTGAATTTATGTCTTTTAGTTTGTCAAAATAATTAAAGTAACGTGTTTGAAGAGTGCACATGTGCAGACTATGTAAGAACGAGCCAAATATTGAGTCTGGTAATAAAGCAAAACAACTGATAACAATTAGAAATAGTCCTCAGATTACTTGTTTGTAATTTATATTAAAAAAAATCTAGCGTTAATTGGATCTCAAACAGTTTCATTAAAAGTAGTTATTATTCCACCACGTGCGAAACCAATGTGGTTGGGTTTCGGAAAACTGTCGTGACTAGCTAGTTGATTTCTCCAACGATGCATCTTACTATGGTGAAGCAGTTAACTACGTCGTCGTTGTACTACGGGAAATGCACCCCAGCACCATAGCATAAAGTATAGGCCTAAAAAACAAACAAAAAAAATACATTCGAGTAAATAATAAATAAAGGAATACAAGAGGCTCAGAAGTTTCTGCAGCATTATATTATATTATATTATATTATTGTAAGCAGTTCGGCAGTTGTTGCTATTACGTGACTGTCTGACTAGTCAACACGTGGGGTGATGACATCATCGTTTCACAAAATATACGGATTGGCCGTACACACGAAATCGGGTGTCGTTTTCGGATTTATCCACCCTGGGACCCGGTTTAAAAAAAATAGCGGTTTCACTCTCCAAGAAGGACACAGAAAACATTAGTTTATTAATAAGTAATTAAAATATATGTCTATATTTGACACATTCGTTACTTTTGCCGGTTCTTTGTGGCAAGCTTTCTGAGTCCGCTAACTTCCTTTCTGAATGCATTCTAAAAATGCATTAATAGTTTCCGAATATATTTCCAAAAATTTTTTTAACAAATTCAGTAGATAGACCATCAATACCTGATTTACAATTATTCATGTGTTTTAAAGCTATATCCATTTCCTCTAAAGTCAACTCTTCCTCAATTAAAACGTCTTCCTCTTTCAGTTTATGTATATGATTTCTTATTTTCCCAAATAAAGAATCACAACCAGCTTTATAATTTATAAAGGTTTTATAAAGGTTAGAATAGAAAAGCAAAATTTCATTTTGAATCTTTGTTTGATCATCTGTTATAATTTCATTTAATCTTTTTTTGTTTGTTTGTTTCCAAAGGACAAACAATATAAAGAACTTTTTTCTCCCTCCTCAATCCATCGTGCTCTCGATCGAATATAAGCTCCTTTTGCTTTTTCAGAATATAACTCCTCTAGTTGAGATTGCGGTGACTGTAATTTTGCTGAATTATCTGGTGATTCTTATATTAACTACTAAATAGTTTATTTCTCCAATCAATCCCTTTTGTTTCTGTTTTCTCCTCACTGATAAAAAAATTACCTGTATCAATTTCTATTTGTTTAACCTTAAATTTGAACCATTTTCATTTATTTAATACATCTAATTTATCAATCTCCTCAATAAGAGCCAACACTTTTTGGTAAAATCTATATCGTTCTTTAACAAGTTATTATTAAACTTCCAAATATTAGGAGAAATGTTACGTTTCTTAAGGACTCCTAAATACAGAGTGACCATACAGTGATCTGTAAGTGAGGCAGCTGTAATTTTACATATTAGAAAAGGGGAGCGCGGGCCACAACCTAACGCGGGGTTAAATGTAACACGGAACGAATTAGTCAGGATTAAGCCGGCTGTGTTTCCACTCTTTTTCGCTCGCTGCCGGAAGACGGTCTTACGCGAATTTCTGGAAATTTTTGATAATATTTCGTCAAGATAGGCTACTGGACAAAGGGTGTTTCTTTCGGTTTCTGAGTTGGCTGTGTACATCACCAAATCTAACTTTATATTACCTTACTGTCTTGTTGGCTAAAACAGCACCGTTTTGAAACAAATCAGCAACAGCTAGGCTTAAAATATGTTTTACACAGCGGGGTTAGTTCTAGCACAAATTACAACTAAGCCGCCAAATGTAGGCTACAATGATAATCAAATGAAAACGGAGCCACACAACTTTTCAGATTTGTGTAGCCTACAGTGCGATCTATGGGTTATGCAGTGTAATTTTATAAACGCGTATAAAAAACACACACATCTAAAAATATTGTTAAACTTGTATTTGGTATGGAATTAAATAACAAGGCTATGGGTATACTATATTGTATCATTATATTTGTTTTCATATAGAAAGAAACATAACTTAAATTAAAAACAGTTTATTATCAACACTGTGCACGAGCGTGAATCCCGCGATCCATCTTTGATCTGGCAGGTGTCTGATCTACGAGTAGAGAGATCTGTCCGCTTGCATGCGCTTTCTTCGTGGCTATGATTTTAGGCGAGGCGAGGCGCACAAACAAGCCTATTTTTTAAACAAGCCCACCCCAAAACTGAAGCCTTAAAAACGTATTTAAATTAAAACTCACCATCCAGACGCCAAAAACACAGACAGAAGAAAACAATCCGAAACATCTTCAACACTTTAAGTCCACAAATATATGAAAAGACAAACTTTTCAAAACGTCTTCAGGAATAAAATGACAGATGAGCTGATGTGAAGCTGCTCTGTGTCTATTCTCTTCTTTACTGAGTGAGAAAACCACCAGAGTCGTAGTACCCCAGAGTGCACTCTGGACGATGGGGCGGGGCGACACTTTTGGGCGGAGCGACACGTGTCGCCCCGCCCACCTTAACGTTTATTGGTTTATAATAAAGATGATCTTATTGGTGCAGAGAAGTGTGACGCTATTACAGATTATTGGTGCAGAGAAGTGTGACGCTTCGGGCCGGCTGGGAATGCGGAAGAACACAACAGACGAATAAACTTGTTGATTTGGCGGACATTAATACGATTCCACATTATTCCATTGAAGTAGAAATACAAAGAGAATAGAAATAATGGTCTAATTCACAATCACTCCCTCAACACCTGTAGTAAGTTAGATGGTCCGTTACCTCTGTATTACTCACTGTTTTTTTGTAAGTTAATGACATCTCGCTCTCTATCTATAGATAGATAGCGAGAGAGAGAGAGAGAGAGCAAACTATAGCGGACATGTTAACAGTCTCACCTGATAGTAACCACGAGTTTCCGTAATCCTACGAACATTTTTTTTTTTAAACTACATTTACGGCTGTTAAACTTCACTGATCATAGCTCCAAAAAGCCATGGTAATCACAAATTAACTATGGTAATTAATTATAGTATTTGTGCGTTTACATAAATGTAATTAATAATGGTTGTACTATAATAAACCTATAAGGGAGTTTCTATACATGCTCTTAAGAACACAACAAAACAAAGACTGTCACTTTTTCTTTATTATAGACTCCAAACTGCACTTATACATCAGCAGAATGTAATTTATGCAAACCTTAAAGAACCAAGGTACTTTACCATATGCACAATTAGTGAAACCTATGTTTTTGCCATAGCTTTTCAATAGAACACTATACAGGTGAAACTCGAAAATTTTTAATATCGTGCAAAAGTTATAATTTTGATGAAAATCAAATTCCAAATCTCACAAAATCAGAATATTACAAAAATGTAAGCCCTCTGAAAATTATATATAATCATGCCATATGCATATAGTCATTTATACTAAACATATTAGTTTCACTTTTTAATTTGAATTACTGAACATGAACTTTTGCACAATATTCTAATTTTTCAAGTTTGAACTTTAAGTTTACCTTTTAGTTGCATCAATTACTACATCAAAACCAGTTCATCTCTCAATTCCCATCTACAAGTTTGAGTTTTACAGAAATTCATTTCCTGCAGCAAAAAAACAGTCCTGCGAGCAAAATCCTGTACAAAGATCTTCGCAGTAAAAGCCCAGCAGTTCCCCTAGTCTTCCTCTTCCCCTGTACCCTGGTGGATAGGACTTAAAAAAAGCTCCAAGCATTCCCTGAAGCTGTAGATCCGGCGAAACTCATCACAGTAGTCCGGAGAATTTTTTTTCCAGTTGACCACACCTTAAAATGTAAAGACAAAATACAGAAAAGATATAAGTGTGGAGATTCAAGTTTAAATGTCACATACCACACATTTCAATCCAAGAAATGTACATTGAACAGAAAAAAACATCTTACAGTCTAGCCAGGCAAAGTGTGCTGCTTTCTGGAAAATTTCATTTGTGACCACATCCCTAAACCATCTGCATACCAGTGAAAGCGTCAAATATGCAGAATCACCAGTTGCTATTATTTCATGGGGAAGCTGTTGAAACAAAAAACATTGTTATTTATACTTGTATATAAATGTTGTTGAAAAAAATATAAACCTTGGTTCAGACAAACCTGATATATTGTTGTCAAAACTGCATGCTCTGAATAAAATAATAAATAAAGAGATACATATTCTCTTATAACGATAATATTAAAATAATATCGCTCCAACACACATTAGCCGCTTTCCCCACTGTCAGGCCAGTGTGGGCCAGGGCTTTCAAGGGTCGGGCGGTGTTAATAGCCTTGGACCTGTATCACCGAGCACAAAATCACACTGTGTTTCCACCGTTAGGACAGAAGCTCTGCAGCGCTTCACTAAAGCCCTCCCTTAACATGCCTGTCTTGAACAATGACAAATAACTCCATTGTTTCACCAACAAATGGAAGTTTTACCAGAACACTATTCAAAGAAATTGCTTAATGAATGTATGTGCACAATAAATTACCGGAATCTCTCTGTCTGAATCTCCCCGAAGACATTGCCTTTTGTAAGGTTGAGTGCTAAGAAAAACAAATGACAAGAGGTAGGCATGTATATTGGTAGATGTAGTACATAAACTAATGTTTAATGTAGGAACATGCAAACAGCTACATGCATTTGCAGAGTGAAGTTGTCCAGTATGAGAGCACACCACCACCTCCTGATCAGGGGCATGTCATCCTGAATTTTTTTAAATAATAATAATAAACAATTATGCATGTCTGTTTATTTAACGTGAAATATGTAATGAGGTAATGACATAACTCTGTAAAATCAAATCGGAGCCCCAAAGCCATGTATAGAGTGTACTGTTACAATTCACAAAGTGCAAGAAAATGAGCAGGGTATAACTTACAATAATTAACTACAATAACAATTAAAATTTAACCTACCATCAGTATGGAACAACATGTTTAAAGTTCAGTCTTTACTACTGCACTTTAATGTGACTAATGTTTTAAGATCACTATGCATACTAACTTTTATACAGTATATTATATTAGGGTTGCAGCAGTATGACAGTTTCATGCTTAAAAGAGTTATATCTCACACATTTGATTATTTACAGTACTGTACTATTGCTCTATATCAAATCTTAAATCCCGAGATCAATTTTTTAGCCTATGCTATTTTCAGTAGTTGCCCAACTAAACACTATTTATTGCATCCTTTCCATCCACAGTTTACGGATGTAAACTGTGATGAGCTTTGTATCTAGTCAAAAATAAAGCAAAAAGTCTCAAATTATGTTACTTTTATCACACAATTCAAACAGTAAATGCAGTTTTGAAAATCAAGGCTATGCGGTGTGACAGCAGAGGTGGGCAGAATATCCAAAAGCTGTACTAAAGTAAAAGGACTTATAGAAATAATTAAGTAATAATATTTATTGTTATTGGAGTAGGAGTAAAAAAATGATGCAATGGCAAAATATTTTTAAAAATATAATATATTTAAAAATGACTCACATTTGATTGAGCAGGACCATATACCATTAAACCACGATAATTTCTGAAACTGCTTTTGTACTGTGAAAATCTCATACCACTGCAACCCTAAGAGGTACATGTTTACAAGTCGGTTACCTGTAGAACTCTTGACATTTCCACACTTAAGTTCAGATTCAGGTGTAACTGCTGGCTTGTTCCTATTATCCATTTGGTTTTTGGTCTTCGTGTTTGGAAGAGATCCTTATAAAGCAATAAAGATATTACCAGATAGAACAGATTACTCTACATGGAGAGGATTATGCCAAACAAATATGTGATACTCTGTTTTTGTCAAGAAGTCAAACCTCTGTTTGAAGAAGCGGAAGTTGTCGATGTGGGATCTTGTCATTTTGCTGTATGACAAAACATCTCCACTTTCAATGCAGGGCTCTCTCTAATGCAGGATTTAGCTCCAAACCTCTGTGCTACCGAGCTGCAGGTGCTTGCTCGTGCTGTACGCTCAGACCCACTACACAATCAACAATTATTCATAAAAAAATGAGAAATTATTAATTCATTCAAACTTTAACAATAAAGTAATTTATTGCTCTCGATTTAAAACAAACATAATTAACATAGCCTAAATAAACATAGCTTTTAAAAAAAAAACTTATTGCTATTGTATAACAGAGCTCTCAAAGTTCTTCAAGATTCTTTATTCATGACATTCTTTCAGAAGGAAACTATTCCAGATTTGATTCACCAACATCATGGTACATTTTTAAATATGTTTATATAAAACTACACAACCATTTTTACTCACCATTTGGAATCGCAATCAACGTGGAGTGTCGTTCGTTCGTTAATGCTGCCACCGTTGCCTTTTATCGCAAACTGCCCCCTAGGGGGTCGGAGGAAAATGGCAAAGGCGGGAACAGGAAAATAGGGGCGGGGCGACACGTGTCGCTCCACCCAAAAGTGTCGCCCCACCCCATCGTCCAGAGTGCACTCTGGGGTTACTCCCAGAGTCCGTCTACGGAGAGCCTGGCCACTCCCACTCCCATAGAGAGAAAGAGCTGCGACCCGCTCTGATGTCGCCGCGATGGATGTCACGTGGTTCATGGAAGTCCCAATAGTTCCAAAACAAACGCGGGCTGTCATGTTCTTCTATGGGAGTCATGGGACAGACAGCAGCGATTGCATTATTGAGACTGTGTTGAATAAAACACACACCTAAGTATTTCAGCTATTGTTGCATTTTGATAATGTCAGTTTTGCATTTGGAGAGGCAGGGTGACAACGGCTAGATGAGTTTTAGGCTATATTTATGGAGGGAAAAGCTTAGTGTTCATGTTCACATGGTTCAAAGCACTGCTTTAGCGATCTTAACTTAACTTCTCTATATCATTCATCTGATGATGGACGTCTTTCATGATAATTATTTTAGCACAACTGGGCTGTATTAGGCAATTGATTCCCGTGATTTTGCTTAAAAATTCCGATTCAGGCGTTAGCAGCAGGTATAATGGCCTCTTCGTGGGCCTGGACTTGTGATGTTTCAGTCCAAGATATTTGTAAAGCGGCAGGCTGGGCCTCTCTGTCTACATTTATAAGGTTTTACAACCTGGAGGTTCCTGACTTACAGACTAAACTGTTCTCAGTCTAAGGCCATTCTTGTCTGGCGAACTGGTTAAGTTCTGCTTTTTACAGCTCAGTGACTTTCATCCACGCTGACTGTTATATTGTCGGCCTGGATATCTTTCACCCGGGCACCTGCCCTTGGGGCCATGTGTGGATGATCTCATCAAGCGCCGCGCTCATCAAGCGTCTATTACAACCAAATACTCATGGCTAAGCGACGTAAGAATTTTAAATGTTTACCAGCAGGCTATCACAATAAAGGGAAATAAGAGAGAGAGAGACTGGAGTACAAAAATAGAAAATTTATTTATTTCCCCTTTTCTTTGGCTCAATGGACTCAAAACATGAAACAGTATTCAAAGGATATTAGGCCTCTGGGTAACAGAGTCAGGGACAACAAAATCCAAAATCAAATTTGTATAAATTTAAAAACAAAATACAACAAACTCAAACACAAAATAAATAAGGCACGTCACAAATCACATGCGCAAATATAACCTAAAAAAAAAAAAAAATCACACTCAACAACCCAGTGGCCACACAACAAAATTGTTACCCCCCCTCCCCACCCAGGATATTGCACCAACCCAATGGCCTAAAATACAAACATTACATAACATACAACATATGTCAACACACCAGGGAGAGACTCATAGGCAACCCAATAGGCGGTTCTTCCCCACGCACACACACACACACACGGAGCTGAATCCTAAAAACAAGAGCACAGGAAAAACAGTGGCCAGGACAGCATATGTCGCTCCTCCTGTATGAACAGACCACATAGCGTCAAGCCAAAAGCTTGGTTATTTATAATACTGTAGCGGTCACTTTACTCCGTCTGGTTTTTTACTTGAACATTCCCAAACCAAAGTTCTCACCACAACAAACGCACTCGGCAAACTTGTAGTGATCACTCTAAACCCGGAAGTCCTCGTTGAAACACGCCAACACAAATCGCAGCCGATGAGGGCTCGCAAAGACAGGACACAAGCAGCAACCACGGCAGTCAACTCATACACCCAGCCAAGAGCCCAAGGAAGCAACAGTCTGTGACAGCACAAATTCGGAAAAACGCCAGCTTGCTGGATTTAAAGGTGTAGCGCCAAACAACCCCCACCTGATTCAATCAAGCGCAATTCTCATGTAAAACACACCCCACTCGCTACATTTAGACCACCTGTGGGTTTGCAATTCATGTTGCAGCGAGAAGCTAGCGCAGTGAAGGGCGCTTGAAAACATAGACATCATATAGGTAGACGCCCTATCGACCGCTACTGCCTATTGGCTCGGACGAGAATTAGAGGCGCCATCTTAAACCGGTCATGCGCTCCGCTCAGTGTAAGGTGAAATGAGCTGTCAGCGCATTAAATTAATCATATCTCACTGAATACTGAACTGATTTTCACGCGTTTTTTTTTTTTTTTTGCTGCAAAGGTCATTCATGTCCCTATGATACAGGACACATATTTATGTGTATTTTAATATCCATTGTAGGTTAACAGTAATATAATATTCTGATATAAGATGTACGTAAAGTGACCAGACACAATATATGTGATGAAGGATATAATGTATTTTATAATTCACACACTATAAATATAATAAAGAAGCAGAAACAGATACTAGCAGTAAAGTAAGATATTTTAATAAGTTGAAGAAAGTTGAAGTTTATGATTGACACACGCACATACACACACACACTTTCACACACAGAATCCCGAACACAGCCACCGGTAATAAAAATTGAGAAGAAGCTTTTCAACGTGTTTGCATCCGTAACGTTAATTTCTAAAAATTAAATTTGGACAACATTAAAGGGTTAGTTCACCCAAAAATGAAAATTAAGTATTTACTCACCCCCATGCTGTACCAACCCCGTAAGACCTTCGTTCGTCTTCGGAACACAAATGAAGATATTTTTGATTAAATTTGAGAGCTGTATAACTACCACATTGGCTCCTAAGGGACTGGCTCTGTCTTGACGGCCCAGAAAGTCAATGAAGAAAATGTTTAAATATCCCATGTGACTACCGTGGCTCAACTTTAAGCTTATCAAGCGACGAGAATACTTTTTGTGCGAAAAAACAAACAAAAATAACGACTTTATTCGACTATTCCTTTTCTTCCTTGTTGGCCTGAAACGAGATTTCCTTAGATTTCCACGACGCATGCGCGAGAACTGAACTGAAGTAGCTAAAGGAGATCGCAATTCAGCATGGGGGTGAGTAATTAATGACTTAATTTTCATTTTTGGGTGAACTAACCCTTTAATTAAGAGGCTTCGTCAGTACAGTTCTTGTACAGGAAACCCAGGCATTGTGATCACTTGAATATAGAGTAATACTTTTATAAGTCTGATCCCTGATCGTGAGAATAACAGTTAATCCTCTCTGGCTAATTTAACCTGTATTTTATTACATGGCAACAGAAGAACAACAACTGAAGTCACATTTAAAACTCACCATCCAGTTCACAGTTTGTGAAAAACTGACACAAAAAGTGTCTGAATCAACAGTTTGCTACTTTGATAAGAAAGCATCAGCTAAAGTTATTGCTCATGTAAGCATTACTGATGAAGAACAGCGGATGAATCGTCCTCATCTGTAATGTTACTGTATGGGATCATCAGCACAGAGAGAGAATTAAGGGAAGACACACACAGACTGGTTGTTTTAATGTAAATCATACGCTCACATTGCCAATGAGTTCATTGTGACGGGACAATCAGTCTGGAGTGGGACACGCTTTGTGTTTCTACAGTCACTCTGTGCTAAAGCTTTCAGTTTAACTCACGAAGGACATTTAGGCGTGATGGACACCAGAGCGAATCTTCAAAGTCCTTGTCCAGCTTAAAGTTAAACTTAAGGGAGTTTGTGTCCTGAAAACATCAACAAACAGTGGGATCAGAGAAATAATCGTGTTTGAATCAAGTGTGTTTTTCTGAACCCACTGACAGATTTTTCGAGCAGAAACTTTTGATTATTTTCAGAAAACAAGACAGTCATTGTTCTTCTCCAGTAAATGTATCTTGATCTAAGAGATATTTGTACTGGATAACAAGACAGAAACACTGTTTGCAGTGTTGTTAGAACAAGCATCAGTCTTCATGTTGACTGTAATAAGATGTTTTTTCTCTCTGAGTTTATCCTGTTGTTTAATGAATAAGCAGCTTTAATTGCTTTCAGAGTAATAAATGTTGAGGTCTGAATTAAAAGCCCTTCTCTGTGTCCATTCAATCTGGACGTGTATAATCCGTCTAATCTGATTATGTCTCTGTGTAAAGCCGAGCGCTCGGTGTTTCTCACACACACCGGAGCAAACGCTGATGAACATGGCCACCACTGACCCCGAGCTGTATCCGAGGAAGATCCTGCAGTACATGGAGGGATTCCTGGTGTCGAAGGTAAAGCCGATGTCAACATTTCTGCCAACTTTCAGTGAGATCGTAACATGTCTTACAGTCGACAGTCAAGAGTTTGGAAAAATTGTGAAATACTATTATAATGTAAACATCTGTTTTCTATGTGAATAAATAGTAAAGTGTAATTTATTCCTGTGATCATACTCCAGTCTTCAGTGTCACACAACCCGATCTCACGGGAATTCGTACGAATTTTACGAGGTGGCTAATTCGTAACAATTTGTACGACCTCACTCGTACGAATTAGTACGAATTAGCCAATTCGTATGAATTCGTACGAATGACCTACCCCTGACCCCGCCCCTAAACATAACCGTCACGTGGGTTTAGGCAAATCGTACAAATTTGTACGAGTGAGGTCGTATGAATTAGTACGAATTAGCCACTTTTGAATCACTCGTACGAATTGGTCGTGAGATAGGGTAGTGTCACGTGATCCTTCAGAAATCACTCTAAGATGAGGATTTTGCTGAATCAGTTGTTTTCTATTTATCAGAGAATCTTGAAAACTAAAATCTATCACACTGATAATAATCATAAATGTGTTTTGAGCATCAGATCATCATATTAGAGTGATTTCTGAAGGACTTGGGCTGTAAGCCATAATCATCAAACGTATAACAAATTAAAGCTGCAAGCAGCGATGGGCGGGCCCTCGCACCTGTAGCGCGTCGGGGTGTGAGGCGGCCGCGTTGCATATTCTGGAACTTAGCCGGTGCGGCTGTGAATTTGCTACGCTTCATTAAAGGTCACTTCCTGTTGCCAGCAGGTGGCGCTATGACTGTTGGTGAATGTCGGCATGTAGATTTGTTCAGGGCGGGACTCTTGTCAAATGTGTTAAATTTCGTTCAGATCTGGGCATTTACATCCAAGTTAATACAACTTCCTGTTTCATAGCGAATCATCAACGCCACGGACACGCCCATCGACGAAAATGCGTAAATAGCACAATTTTACATCATCAATGCCTTTAGAAGGCACAGCAGAAATTTGAAGTCGATCCGACTAAATCCCTAGGAGGAGTTAGTTAAAGTACGTAATGAGTAAATCATCCAAAAATGGCGGTAAAATTAGAAATGGCCGATTTCCTGTTGAGTTTAGGGCATCGCTCCAGGAGACTTTTCTGTGCGTCTGGATATGTTAGTTGTACCACAAAAATTTCGTACGTTTCGGTCAAACATGCGGCGGGGGCTGCTTCGTTAAAGGTCACTTCCTGTTGCCACTAGGTGGCGCTATGACTGTGGGTGAATGTCGGCATGTAGATTTGTTCAGGACGGGACTCTTGTCAAATATGTAAAATTTCGTGCAGATCTGGGCATTTACAGCCAAGTTACAACAACTTCCTGTTTCATGGCGAATCATCGACGCCACGGACACGCCCATGGACGAAAACGCACAGATAGCACAACTTTACATCGTCAATGCCTTTAGAAGGTACAGCAGAAATGTGATGTCGATCCGACTAAAGCCCTAGGAGGAGTTAGTTAAAGTACGTAATGAGTAAATCATCCAAAAATGGCGGTAAAATTAGAAATGGCTGACTTCCTGTTGAGTTTAGGGCATCGCTCCAAGAGACTTTTCTGTGCGTCTGGACATGGTAGATGTACCACAGAAATTTCGTACATGTCGGTCAAACATGCGACGGGGGCTGCTTCGTTAAAAGTCACTTCCTCTTGCCACTAGGTGGCGCTATGACTGTGGGTGAATGCCGGCATGTAGATTTGTTCAGGGCGGGACTCTTGTCAAATGTGTAAAATTTCGTGTAGATCTGGGCATTTACAGCCAAGTTACTACAACTTCCTGTTTCATTGCGAATCATCGACGCCACGGACACGCCCATCGACGAAAACGCGCAGATAGCACAACTTTACATCGTCAATGCCTTTAGAAGGTACAGCAGAAATTTTAAGTTGATCCGACTAAATCCCTAGGAGGAGTTCGTTAAAGTACAGAGTGTGTAAATCGTCCCAAATCGGTCGCCAAATTCAAAATGGCGGACTTCCTGTCGAGTTTAGGGAATGGGTTCTTGAGGCTTTTTTGTGCGTCTGGTCATGGTAGATGTACCACAGAAATTTCGTACATGTCGGTCAAACAAGCGGCGGGGGCTGCTTCGTTAAAGGCCACTTCCTGTTGCCAGCAGGTGGCGCTATGACTGTGGGTGAATGTCGGCATGTAGATTTGTTCAGGGCGGGACTCTTGTCAACTGTGTAAAAAATCGTGCAGATCTGGGCATTTACAGCCAAGTTACTACAACTTCCTGTTTCATGGCGAATCTTCGACGCCACGGACACGCCCATCGACGAAAACGTGCAGATAGCACAACTTTACATCGTCAATGCCTTTAGAAGGTACAGCAGAAATTTGAAGTCGATCCGACTAAATCCCTAGGAGGAGTTCGTTAAAGTACGGAGTCTGTGAATCGTCCAAAAATGGCCGCCAAATTCAAAATGGCGGACCTCCTGTCGAGTTTAGGGTATGGGTTCTTGAGGCTTTTTTGTGCATCTTGATATGACACACGTCCCCACCAAATTTCGTGCATGTAGGTTGAACGTGGACGAGGGGCTAATTTTTTCCAATTTTCTAGGTGGCGCTAGCGTGCCATTTTGCCCCGCCCATCCGCGAAACCCACAAAATACGAAATTTTTCACCAGTCCTGACATGCGTGCCAAATTTGGTGACTTTTTGAGCATGTTGCGGCCCCGAAAATGGCACTTACTTTGCAGAAAAAAAAAAATAAAAAATAAAAAAATAATCCTAACAGTTTCAATAGGGTCCTCGCACTGTTAGTGCTCGGGCCCTAATAAAGGCTTGAAATATCTCACTTTGCATGTAATGAGTCTATAATATATTAGTTTCACCTTTTAATTTGAATTACTGAAATAGATGAACTTTTGCACCATATTCAAATTTTTGGAGTTTCGCCTGTATTTTGCATCTCCTTGATTTAGTGTTTGTGCGGAGGTTTCCTGCAGTGTTGATGGTGTGTGTGTGTGTGTGTGTGTCGTCAGACGCTGTTCTCTGCCTGTGAGCTGGGAGTGTTTGAGCTTCTGAACGAGTCTGCGATGTCTGTGTGTCAGCTGTGTGAGGCTCTGAACACCAGTGAGGACGGCACTGAACGCTTGCTGTCTGCGTGTGTCGGCCTGGAGCTTCTCAACGCACACACACACCCTGACGGAACAGGTACTGCACACACACACACACACACACACACACACAGCCTGACGGAACAGGTACTGCACACACACACACACACACACACAGCCTGACGGAACAGGTACTGCACACACACACACACACCCTGACGGAACAGGTACTGCACACACACACACACACACACACACACACACACACACACCCTGACGGATATAGTGAGAATATGGAGGGAAAAAAATGCAAAATTTTATTCAAATTGCCAAACTTGCTTTTATTTATATTTCATATTGACAAAAAGAAATACTGAGGAAGAACATAATTTTTTTTGCAGTGTATAAGGGGAATGAGAGTTTGGACATATAGAAATATTTATTTTAAAAAAAATTTTCCAGCACTAATCTTTCAAGGGCTGTGAAACGATTAATCGCATCCAAAATAAAAGTTTAACATATATATACATATATGAAGAGTTCAGATGCAAAAGCCTCTAAGTGCCATTTGAAATTTTCTTCTAGAATGATCACAGCAGTTATACCATTTT